CTCAAACCTGTGGGCTCAGGCAATCCTCTCACCTTAGCCTCCCAAAGTGCTGGGATTATAAGCGTGAGCCACTGCGCCCGGCCTTTAAGTCCCTTAACTTCAAATTCTCAGTACCCTCACGTGTAAAACAGAGATGAAAGAAATTCCTCCTCAAAGTTAAGAATCCAATGAGAAAACACATGCAAAATCACTTTGTAACCCTTATAGAAATGGTCGTGAAAGAAATTTAAAAGGTAAGCATCCTTAACCTTTGCTACCCAGACTCACCCTCCACAAACCTAATCTTATTTTTCCCTACAATACAACCCAGTCCAGAAGCATAACTGCTCAGAAAGTAAATCAGTAACATCCATCAAAACTTGTGGATTTATTTTTTCTTTTCAGTACGTTTGAGTTCCTTGTAAGATCCTAGATGTTAGGCCTTTGTCAGACATACTGTTGGTGAATATTTTTTTCCCAGACTGTGGTCTATCTCCTTGCTCTCTTGATGGTTTCTTTGGCTTTGCAGAAGCTTGTCAGTTTGATGAGGTCCCACTTGTCTATCCTTTTTCTTATGGCATGGGCACTTGGGATTTTGATCAGGAATTGGTTGCCAGTTCCAATTTCCTGCACTTTGTAAGGTTCTTATAGTTTGAGATTTTACATTTAGGTCTTTGATCCATTTAGAGTTTATTTTTGTGTATGGGAATAGGTAGGGGTCTTGTTTTAATCTTCTTCATGTGATCAGCCAGTTTTTCCAGCACCATTTATTGAATAGGTTCTCGTCTTCCCAGTCGTAGGTGGTGGAGGCTTTATCGAAGATGAGCTGGCTGAGATATTGAGGTTTTGCTTCTGGAAACTCAATTCTATTCCAGTGGTCTATATGCCTGTTCTTGTACCAATACCAGGCGGTTTTGATTATTGTAGCTTTAAAAAAAGTTTAAAGTCTGGGAGTGTAATACCTCCTACTTTTTTTTTTTTTTTTTGCCAAGGATTGTTTTGGCAATTCATGCCCCCATTACAAAGCAGGCAAAAGATATGAATAGGCAGTTCTCAAAAGAAGACATACAAATAGCCAACAGATACCTACAAAAATGCTCAGCCTCATCATCACTAGTCATCAAAAAAAATGCAAATTAAAACTACACTGAGATACCACCTAACTCCGGTGAGAATGGCCATGATCAATAACTCAAAAAATAACAGATGCTGGAGAGGATGTGGCAAAAAGGGAACACTTCTACACTGCTGGTGGGAGTGTAAACTAGGACAGCCTCTGTGGAAAACAGAGTGGCGATTCCTAAAAGATCTAAAAATTGACCTTTCATATAACCCCATAATCACCCTACTGGGAATACACTCGGAAGAACTCAAATCACTCTACAAAAAAAGTAACTGCACTCTACAAAAAAGATTAACTGCACACATGTTTATTGCAGCATTGTTCACAATAGTGAGAACATGGAATCAACCATGCTGCCCATCAAAAGAGAACTAGATTAAAAAGTGGTACATATACACAATGGAATAATGAACTTCACAGCAACCTGGACGGACTTAGAGTCTATAATACTAGTGATATTTCACAGAAACAAACAACTGAGTATCACATGTTCTCACTCATAAGTAGACCTTGAACAACTATCGTAATACTATAAGAAAAGGAGTGCCAGTAGCAGGAAACTGTGCTGGGGGGGGCAGGGAGGTGGGATTGGCAGTAGTGGGAATCTGCCTGGAGAAAGGGGGGCACACCTCATCAAAAAGAGTACCAGCATAATGAACATCTGCATACCTAGCCCTGAATTGTACCCCACATCTTTAAAATAAAAAAATTAAAAGCTAAAAAAAACTTATAGCTTTCAATCAATAAACATTTATTAAGTTTGTGTGATAGACATTCTTGTAATTTTCCTATACCACTTGTATTCCCTTGATCTTTGCACCAACTTCTAACTTTTCCTCATAATGTCATTTACCAATCCCCTGTCAATGACTAGTTATAACCTACATTCATTACATAGTTTGTCATTTGATTCATCAAGTTCCTCCATCATTCCAGGTAACAATGACCCAGCCATTAACCAATCCTCAAGTACAAAAACTTCACTCCACTCTTGTCACTCATACTTACTGCCCAAACAGAGTACTAGCCAATACTGTCCTCTTTGATCACAACCTCCAATCAAGTCTAAATTCCTGTTGATGCTGCTGCTTTTTTCCCCCTTAATATAGAGAAAATTTATTGACCACAAAAGTTAATTTAAAATGATGAAGCCTCCTATAGCTGTAGTTCCAACTCAGATGAACACACCTCTTCAATGTCACCAGTTAACAGCTGGAAATAGAGAGCCTGTAAACTTCTCTTCATGGTATCATCTGGTCCTGCTTATCCTCCAGTTTATTCATGATTCTGTCCTGGGGTGGAGGGTGTGGAAGCCTTCAAACGCATTTGTATCCTTATGCCCCATCAGCTTTGCTGCTTTTCACCCCCACTTCTGCATCTTGGACCATCACCAAACTATCACCAACTGCTGGAAAGAGGTGCTCTGGCTCCCTCTGATGGCTCGGGAGAAAGCCCTGCCTCACGTGCACTCACCAAGGCTACTTTTAAAATCTGCCCCACCACCATTCTACTTCCACTGCCATGGTTCAGATTCCCATAGTCTTTCCCCTGTGCAACTGCAACTGCTGAGGGAGGTTGCTCACACGTATAATCCCAGCACTTTGAGAGGCCAAGGTGGGAGAACTGCTTGAGCCCAGGAGTTCAAGACCAGCCTAGGCAACACAGTGAGACCTTGTCTCTATTTGGGAGGCTGAGGAGGGAGGACCATTTTAGCCTAGGTGTTCGAGGCTACAGAGAGCCATGATGGTGCCACTGTATTCTAGTCTGCTCTTACTACCACCAATCTTAACCCACCTAAATCCACCCCCCACGTCTGAGTTAGTTATCTAAAATGCACAAACTGGCCACGTCACTTTCCTGCTTAAGACCCAACTATAGCCCCCTTTACCTATAAGAACACTCCAAATTCCTTATACACACACCAAGCCCTCTAAGCTCAGGCCTACCTTTCCAACCTCGTCCCCTACAGTCTGCTTTTTACTTTCTTTGTTTTTTTTCTTTTTTTGAGTTGCAGTCTCACTCTGTCACCCAGACTGGAGTGCAGTGGCCGCTACAAGCCACCGCAGCCTCGACCTGCTGGGCTCCGGCGATCCTTCCGCCTCAGCCTTCCAAGTAGCTACCACGCCCGGCTCATTTTTTGATTTATTGTAGAGATGAGGTCTCGCCAAGTTGCCCAGGCGGGTCTCGAACTCGCGGGTTCAGGCAATCCACTCACCTCAGCCTCCCAAGGCGCGGGATTACAGGCTGAGCCACCAAGCCTGGCTGCTTTTTATTTTCTAACATGATCAGTTTATTGTTCACACATATCATGCACTTCATTTCTCTGCACCTTTCTACAGGCTACTCCCTTTGCCTGATACCCCTCTCCCTTTGTGTTTCACATCCCCATTGCTACCCTTTTTCAGATGGCTAACTCCTACTCATACTTTAAGAGTCGGCTCAGATATCATCTTCAAAATATACTCTCTACACCCCTAGGCTGGGGTAAGCAGTCCTCTCCTGCACCCTTAAGGAACACTGCACACATTTCTTTTATACCATTTACCACAATATACTAAAATTATTTGTGTATTTATTATCCCATTAGATCCTACTCAACTCACAGAGAGGGACTAAGCACAACATCTTTATATCTACAGTGTCTAGTAACAGACAGAGTGTGGCATATGGAGGGGACAACCAGTTGTTGAACTGAACTTGATTTCAAGAGATCATCATAAGCAATATCAACTAAGAAACAGACTCGCTAGGTGCAGTGGCGCACGACTGTAATATCAGCACTTTGGGAGACTGAGGTGAGAGGACTGCCTGAGCCCAGGGGTTTGAGACCAGCCTGGGCAACTTGGTGAGACCTAGTCTCAACAATAAATCAAGAGAAAGTAGCCAGGCATGGTGGTGTATGCCTGTAGTTCCAGCTATCTGGAAGGCTGAGGCAGAAGGATTGCCTGAGCCCAGCACGCTGAAGCTATGGTAGTCTTGAGCATGCCACTGCACTCCAGCCTGGGTTATAGAGTAAGACACTAATTCAGGAAAATAAAATAAACAAACTCACACAAGTCCAAGAGTGAGAGAACCCCATTAAAAACAGACACACGAAACTCAGTTGCCATGCATATATTCTGACAAGCCACTGCCTCTACACTATGCGGAACTACCTGTACCACCCTACCCCACCCCATTCAACACTAGAATAGAGCCAGGGTAGCTCACATCTGTAATCCCAGCACTTTGGGAAGCAGAGGTGAGAGGATCACCTGAGTCCAAGGGTTTGAGACCAGCCTGGGCAACTTGGTGAGGCTTGTCTCTACAATAAACCAAAAAATTAGCTGGGCGTGGTGGCATGTGCCTGTGGTTCCAGAAGGCTGAGGCGGAAGGATCACCTGAGCCCAACAGGTTGAGGCTGCGGTGTCCGTTAGCATACTACTGCACTCCAGCCTGGGTGACAGAGTGAGACTCCAACTAAAAAAAAAACAAAAAAAAACAAAAACAAAGAAAACACTAGGATAGGATGCTCTGTCCACTGTACATATCAAAAAACCTGAGATTGGCAAGAGAATAAAATGAGCTATTTCAGAAGAGTCAAACTGATGGGAACTCAGAAAGTTTAAGAGTAAGTTGGATGCCGGGCTCAGTGGCTCAGTCTGTAATACCAGCACTGTGGGAGGCCAAGGCGAGTGGACTGCCTGAGCCCACGGGCTCGAGACCCACCCGGGCAACTTTGCAAGACCTCGTCTCTACAATAAATCAAAAATTATAGCCAGGTATGGTAGCACACACCTGTAGTTCCAGCTACTTGGAAGGCTGAGGTGGAAGGATCGCCGGAGCCCAGCAGGTAGAGGCTGCAGTGGCCGGGAGCGTGTCACTGCCCTCCAGTCTGGGCGACAGAGACTCCAACTCAAAAAAAAAAAGAGTAAGTTGGAACTGGTCCTCTCTTCCTCAGTCAACCAAAGAGGGAAGCACAAAGAAATTCATCCCCTTGAGAGAAGGGGAGGTATGGCCAGGCACAACCGCTCACACCTATAATCCCAGAACTTTGGGAGGCCAAGGCAGGAGGACTGCTTGAGCCCAGGAGTTCGAGACTAGCCTAGGCAACATAGTGAGACCTTGCCTCCACAAAAAAAATTAGCCAGGTGTGGTGGCATGTGCCTGCAGATTCAGCTACTCAGGTGGATGAGGAGGAAGGCTCATCTGGGTTCAAAAGTTTGAGGTTGCGGTGAGCCATGACTGTGCCACTGCATTCCAGTCTGGGTGACAGAGGCCTCAACTCAAAAAAAATAAAGGGGAGATACAATCCTGGAATCACTTAACCCAATACTGTGGGATCTGATATGTGGAAAGGAAGTAATCCATGTATAGTTTTAAGAGCCCAGATGCCCCACCTAAGTCATTGGAAACAGCTGGGAAAATAGCTACATTTGACAGGAAGAAAAACAGGCTGGGTGTGGTTGCTCATGCCTATGATCCCAGCACTTTGGGAGGTCAAGGTGAGAGGACTGCCTGAGTCCACAGGTTCAAGACCAGTCTGGACAATTTGGCGAGTCCTCATTTCTACAAAAAATCAAAACATTAGCTGGACGTGGTGGTGCATGCCTACAGTTCCAGTTACTTGGAAGGCTGAGGCCCTCCAACCTAGGCAACAGAGTGAGATTCTAATTCAAAAAAAAAGAAAAGAAAAGAAAAAACACCAGTCACCAGGCTGAACCATCCAAGATACTAGGAGTTATCAGAGTTCCTAGTCAGTAGTCCTCAACCATGGGAAACTTTGATCCACCAAGGACAACTGGCAATGTCTGGAGACATTTTTTATTGTCATGCCTGTTGGTGAAGTGGATGCAGAAGTAGAATCCAGGGATGCTTCAAAATATCCTATAATGCACAGGACAATCCCCACAACAAAAAATGTCAATAAATGCCAAGGATAAGATGGAGCATGATCAAGAGTCAAAAGAATGCATGTCATTTTCCACACGAGATTTGGAGAAGGAAGTCATTTGGTCCCTCTAACCCAAACCCATAAAATAATGTTTCAGAAGAGAAGAAAGGGTTGTCAGACCTAGGCTCATTTGACCCCTAAGTCCAACTAACACTAATGTGTTTTATCCTAGTCCAACTGTGGGTTCTCTATACCTGCTGTTGCCATTCAGGTGAACAGCAGGTAGTGGAGCTACGCTCCCTTCTGCCCCATCCCAGGAGGTCTACTTTGACCTAGTTCAATCTGGAGTTTTGTGGGGACAGAGAAATGCCATCCTCTGCAAGACAGACAAAAAGGATTCTGTTGGTAAGCTTCACTGCCATCTTCATTTCCACTAGTAGACTCTTCTTGTGAGGTCGCTGATCAGACTTACACTCCTTATTCAATGAAAACATAGAAGTATATGTTTCCCAAGGCCATGTCCTTGGAGAAATGTCAGGAGGCTAGCATGCAAGTTAATACACAGCCTTGCCCATTTAATTATCATCCAGGATGGTGAGTTCACTCACTATGCAACCGAGATGAGAGTTCCAGGAATCTATCTAACTTTAGCATTAAAAGAATGTGACCTGAATCTTAAATTCAGCTGATTAGTAAAATTAGAAAAAAAAAAAAGAACACAACCAATTTCTTCTTAAACCAAAATATACTCAGATTTCCGAGGCAGTGACAGAAGCTCAGCTTCAAATATGCAAGGGTCCTAGATGAAGGATATCAGAATGGTGAGATGGCTGTACCCCTCTAAACAGAATATTTGAAAAAACTTCAAAAAACAAAAAACAACAACAACAAAAAGCAAAAACAAAAAAGCCGGGCATGGTGGCTCATGCCTATAATCCCAGTACTTTGGGAGGCTGAGGCGAGAGGATTACCTAGCCCATGGGTTCGAGATTGGCCTGGGCAACTTGGCGAGACCTCATCTCTACAATAAATAAAAAAATTAGCTGGGTGTGGTGGCACATGCCTGTCGTTCCAGTTACTTGGAAGGCTGAGGCAGAAGGATCGCCTGAGTCCAGCAGGTCAAGGCTGTGGTGGCCGTGAGTATGCCACTGCACTCCAGCTTGGGCGACAAGTCAAAAAAGAAAAAACTTAAGTCTTGGTATCTGAAACATTGCCAGATACCAAGAGACAAATGCTCCAGTAAACAGAGTCCTGATCCCACTGACTAGTCTGGCTTCATTTGAGATAGTAACATATAAGTTCCTCTTTACAGTTTCCCAAGAACAATTTTTTATTCTAATGAATCGTTACATTTCCTGGAGTTCTTCTATATTGCTTGCTTTTCTGTCTGTTTATTCTTCAGGGAAGTCCAAGTCAGCCAAGGGCAGCTAACAGTCTATAAGTATCTTCAGGATTTCTTCCTGACTGATTGCTCTCTATTGGGTGTCCACTTCCAAGCAAAGTCTAGTCTCATCCCAACCTGGGATGATATCTGTACTTTTTGAGGTACTTGACTCCATTAGGGGAAACTCACATGGAAGAAATATGATGTCTTGAAATGAAAACAACAGTTGCTTCATCCCAACAGGGATGATATCTTTATTTTCACAGGACAACTAGAGATATTTGAGTCTCTCAGAAGTCCTCAGAGGAAAGTCACGCTGAAGAACTGAAAGATGTCTTGAAACTTGACTTAAAAACTACATGGAAAACCTTAAAGACAGTGAAAAGTACAGAAATAGTTTTCTTGTTGGTGGGAATAGGAAAAGGTAACCAAATATCTGGAAGTCAGAATTACATAGTATGTTTCCAAAGAAAGATTCTAGGAAGCTAACAGCTGGAGGAAAGAGTAAAGTAGAAGAAAAGCCTTCCCATGGAAGAAAGGTGCCTCAGCAACTCTCCAAGGAAAACAGCCAGTGGACAATGCGCTAGAGTACAGCCTTCCATATGTTAAAAAAAAAAGTTTCTCTCAAAGCTGACCAAGAAGACCAGACAATAACAAACCAAAGCTGGGGCTTGTCTCAAAACATCTAACTTCCCCTCTCTTTCCCCTCAACTGTCTCAGTCAACTAAAAAGATAGTGATTGCAACAGATCTTGTTGGGTGAATGAAAACTCATTTTCCTGGCAACTGCCCCATTAGTGGGCCCAACACCAAAACATTTCTCATGTCATTTCCATTCCCTTTCATTGTTTAAAAACAATAAAAAGTTTCAGACTTACCTCTGCAAGAAACTTAATTTTCCAGGTCTCTTCCTAGCACAAGTTTCAAAGCCAGCAGCAAAACAAAAACAAATAAGGAGGGGAAAAGAGTCAATTTTCAAGTTTTAGTTTGAAGCCTTAAAGGCCCATAAAGTTAGTCAATCTCAGTTGCAAAAACACAAACAAACCTAAACACATTTAGAAAACTCACCTCCAACAAAGTCCCAAGGCTTCCATAATTCTCTACTAGTCAATTTACAAAACAATATCAACTCTAAGAATTTCCTGTGTCAATGGCTCATGGCAACAACCAATTACCTCTGACACCTTCTTACCTCCCTTCTCAATTCCTTATTCCACCTATTTTGTTACAATATAACTGTTAACTTTCGCCTTTAGAAAGAACTGAAAGGAAAGTAGTAACAGCCAAATCTTCCCATCACTTAACTAATCAGACCAGAACATCCTTCAAATTCTATCTTGGGCCCTTTCCTTTAACTGGCACACAATGAGAACAAAATATCCACTGAGGCAGCACCCGTTCACACATTGACGTTCACCAGGGAAAGTTTTCCTAGGTACAGTATGCTTACCGACCCCCTCCCTCCTAACATTTAAACAGCAAAAGAAAGGTCTGGAAAGTAGAGCATTTGTTTAATTGATGACTTGCCTAAATGCCATCCTGTCCCTTCTGTGTCCCTCATCAGGCTTGCAGAGCCTCCACCTGAACATACAGGGTTTCAATACAGCCATGTCTGTTTTCCCACTTCTGTACTGCCAGTTGCTAAAAACTGGAAAAGTCCTTTGCTCCTCCACACTTGGGCAACACCAGTTCCCCCATTTTCCCTCGTTTCGGGAAGCAGAAAAAACAAGGGAGCAGTAAGCGAGGGAGCCTTTTGGAAAGCAAATCTAGCTGAATCCTCATCCAACCCCAATTCTCCAAACCCACATGACCATTCCCTCCTGCCCTTCCCACCCTATTAAAAGCTAAGGGCCTGGCAATTAGAATTGGCTGCAACTGATGCTGCTTAACTCTGTTCTCTCTTCCTTTCCACAGGGGAAGGGGAAACCCCCGAACCCTTATCGCCCGTGCAGCTCCACTGTCCTATCTCCCACCCCACTCCCCTTCCTCCCAAACTTTCCTCCCAGTCTCACTTTCTCCATTACCTCGTCATACCCACATTCCCTCCATTCCCTACACCTCCGTTTTCCCCTCTTCCACCCTAATTCCCCCCAGGCCCTTCCCCCTCCCACCTCCAGTGTAACACTCACACCCCCCAAACGTCTTAAGTCCGAGTCTCACCTCCTCCCCTGCCCACAACACCCCTCACCAGAGTCCAGTCCTCCCTCCAGCCGCATGCCACCGGCCCCTTCCCCCTACACCCCCAGCCTCTCCCTGCGGCTCCTACACCCCTCGGCACGGCCGAATCGCAGCCCTGTTCTGTTCTGTTCCGGCCCGGCCCGGCCCGGCCCAGGCTCAGCCCTTGTTTACGCCCCTCCCCACGCCCCACGCCGGTGCCTCGACCC